TGAAAATTAGCCTTAGCTAACTCCGGCTGGTTTACAATGAGAATAGACTTCTTGTATCATGTCTTCTTCTCCTTTTCCATGAACTGGTACTGTCCTGTCTAAATAAATGAATAAATAAATAAATAAATAAACTCATTTAAATACATTTTGGTCACAGTAAAAGCGCCACCTACTGGAGACAAATGTTACTAACCCTCATGTACAGTTTTGTCTTTCATTGACACTCTGTCATTTACGTTCCTGAAGGTGACTGCGTGTTCGAAACCGTAGCCTCACCTCCAGGTAAAATTCCATGCCATGCTGCTCTAAGTGCTTCAAATTCAACACAGTGACGGTTTTGCCCTCAAAAGACCAACAGCTACATCTGGGTCATGGTGAGAACACCAGCTGTTGTTGCACCAGTGCGGCTGCTGCACAACCAACAGCTTCTATGCAACTCATGGTTGAGATATGCAAAGGTATGATGGCCTGGTCATCACTATTTTTATTTGATGTTTGTACCCTATTCTTAATTATTCCACAGTAGATACTTATCTATACAGTAAGTATTTATCTGTATCTGCCCTCTTAGTAAGGATGACCTAAACTGTATCATTGGTAATTATTATGACCTTGTAAAGCACACAAGCACAAACTTTCACCCATTTTACTTTTGGCACTTTGCACATGTGACTGAGGGAAATAGATCAATTTTATCCATTAAGTGCATCTGGGGGCTTGCATAATAAGCATGTGTAGGTGTTTGGTGTTCATGGATTTGAATAGAGCAGGCAAAAGCAATTAGAAAAAAAACCTTGATGGACTCCAAGAGGCTCATTTTACTGAGTCTGTGAGGTTGGACTTGTGTTTATTGTCTTGTTTTATGAAGTGTTGTTGCTTTTCTGTGGTTGTTTTTTTGTCTATCTGCCCAGGAACAACACATGTTAATGAGCTGCTAGCCGACTCCGGTGTAATTGCTCATGACTGTGTGTGTTTCTCTGCGAAAAATAAATAATAAAAGCATGTATATAGAGATTGTTTGAGATAAATCATGGTAATAAATGAAAAAAGAAATCAGGATGTACAAAAGTAAGCCTACCTACATTTGTAGTCTTCGAGCTGGTAAAAGATAGTCTGACATTTCCTCAGATAAAACCTCAAACTAGACAGAAACATATATTATAACATTGGACTTGAAGTGGGTTACACAGATAACACCTGCCAGCCTATCAGGATACCAGCACTCTGTTATACATGTAACAAGCTGACTATAGATAAGAGTTAAACAGATAAGGTAAAGTCATTGCAGAGAAACACAAATGTTAACCAGAAGCAATAAAATAAGGCTGTCCTGTTTCTCAGTTCAGAACTGAGGGGCTCCTTTTGTCAGGTCAGTAACAGCTGTGAAAAACATTGAGACAAAATATGTAACGTTATCATTAGAGACAGTTCTTTTGTCTACAGTTGGCAAAGTGCAATGTTATTGATGCACAAAGGCAAGATGGGCAACAATTCTCTTTTCAATCATAATTTCAACCTGAATCAGCATAAATGTTACCAGGATACCCATCAATCCATCAGTATCTAAACTTGTCCTGAAGTAGTCGAGAGGCTGCAGCCAATCCCAACCTCCACTGGCATAGACGCAATGTCTATTCTGGACAGGCTGCCAGTTTATCACATGACTGACACAAATAGACAAAAAATCTCTGGGGCACAGACTCACACCTTCAGGCAAGTAACCAATCAACCTGCCAAGCCTGTCTTTGGGGAATAAGAGGACACCAAAGTACCCATGAGAGAATGCAAGCATGCAAACTCCACACAGAAAGTCTCCATCTCAGCTTAGAGTTTAAAGCAGGAACCATCCTGCTGTGAGGCAACACTTGGTACCTTTACATGTTTTGTACATCAAAATATTGATTCATTGCATTAATCCAACTGAAATTGGACTTTTAGTCTAAAATAACATCAAATCCAACGTCTCACAGTCAGACAAACATACCCAGATTATGAGGTTAGGGATTAATTTTCTTCTCTGTGTGTACAATTTAATCAGACTCAAACCTGGCCTAAGTGCTCTGCACATGCTTCACTGTTTGCACGGCAGGCTTTGACGCTGAGTAATATAAATGCATTACTAGGAAGCCAGGCAGTAAACAAATTCTTTAAAAAAGAAAGGATGTATTAAAAAACTGTCCTACAGAGTACAGCGCTGTAAATGTGATGGTGTTTTCATCATTCAACATACATCCCGTTGGGGATGATCACAGTAGTTTTGGTGCATAATACAACAACTGGGAGATAACCCAGTAGAAACAAGCTAAAAAGGGGCATATCACCACCTACTGTGGAGGAGGTGAACATGTTTTGGTCAATAATTAGATTTTTGCCCTGTGCATGTAGATAATAGTCCAGTTACATGTCCTAATCAAGCTTTAACCATAGCTTTGTTTAACTGTGCATGTTAACATACTAACTGCCAACTACTATTTCCGCGAACTTTGAATGTCGAATTTAGATGAGCAATATAGTAACACGACCATGCAGTAACATTTGTATCTGTTTTAGCAGTATCAATAGAAAATGAGGTAATCTCAGCTGTAGTAATGGTTTTGGTATCACCAGTAGACGTACCGACAGTAGTAGCATGTTCATCATTTCTCAAGCTGCAGTAGTTACAGTGACGTTTCTTTTGTTGGTACTGACATGAGTAGACTTGTTATGGTGCAGAACCTGTTGTATTAGCAGCAGCTGGAACAGCAGGAATATCTGCAGCCACTGTTTGAAATAGTATTGTAACAGCAGCAGCAGTGATAATAATACTATTAGCAATATTAGTAACTGCACTGTAATTATTGTCACATAATTGCAAGAAAGTTGTTGAAGCATCAGTGGTCACAGCAGTATAAAGGTACATACATATAACTCAAGCATTAGTTGCCTCACAGCCAATTTTGATTTAACTAAAAGCGCCTTGATTTAACTTTTGATTATTCTAGTCGTAACTGTAGTTTTAGTGGCTGCAACAGTCGTTCATTAAATGAGACTCATTATCAGAACTGTGGATTTGGCAGCATTAAAGGTGCTGGTGAAGTTGTTGTAGAGCCAGGGTGGTTGTTGGAGAAATACTAGGAGGTGTAGTAGACTTAACATAGGCCTTTTTAATAGTTGTATCAGTCGTATCAGTAGCAGCAGTGCAGGCAGTAGTAGCAAGTAGGAGAAGTAGAGGTTAGTAGTGACCATATTTATAACAGAATCACTTAATATCACATCAATTAAGTTTTTCTTCTTCTTGAAGTATCCAGTCCTCTATAAAACAGACCTCCTCAGTGTCATTGTGTATCATATCACACAGTGTGCACTGACTGTCTTTCTACTGTATTAAAGTACACCGTGAAACACTTCTGCATGTTTACAAGCAGGCAGACAGTGGATCATTTATCCAAACACCCTGAAGGTAATCTAACCTACGCAGGCAAATCAAATTAAGTTGGAGCCAGCAGAGTTACTTCAGCTCAGCGTGGGTGTTTATATGAAAGTCTTTTCAGCTGCAGTGAAAGCAAAACTTCTGTCACTGATGTTATTAGGAAACCTGTAAACACACTCACTTACCTATGAATGGCCTCCTCAGTCACTCAGTCACTCCCAAACTATTCGGCCTGGGTCATCTGAAATAGGTAAAAAGCTCAGTGTGCTTTCCAAGCAGCAGAGAGGACATAAACCCAAAATGCTAAAAATGGCAACTGGAGTGCAGACATAGTATCTTAATGAAAGGTAAGCTGTTACAAACTGTGATGTAAACAAGAATAAAAAAATACTCCACAAATTCCAATAAGGTTGGATTTCTGATTAAAGTGTTGATAAAATTAGAATATGATGATTTACAACTTAAATAAAGCCCTTATTTCAATTAAGAAAATAGTGCTAAAAAAACTGAAAATGTGATCATCTTGTTAAAAAAAATTACTCATTTTAAATTTGATGCCAGTAACATGTTTAAAAACAGCTGGGAAAGGGAGCACCTTTACTGTTGTGTTGCATCTTTTCTTCTCTAAGAAATACTCTATAAATGCTTGAGGACCAGTTTCTGGACTTTGGCAAGTGCAATGTCCCATTCGTGCCTGCTTTAAGATTTTAGCCACTCATAAATGCGCCAGATGTTTCAAGTTGGAGACAACCTGGGTCTTCAGGCAGGCCTGTTTAGCAGGAGGACTCGTCTACTACTGAGCCATGCTGTTGTAATCCCTGCTGAAATTAATTTCTTTCTTTAAAACCACCTCTTCCTCCTGGATTATGTTACTGTTATGTTCCTCCTTTGCATGTCCAGAGTCTCTGAATCATAATGAGATATTATGCACCATTGATGATAACATTACCATATCTTTGCAATTTCACCCTCAGCCTGATTAGTTGGTTCTCTGTGTATTTTTTTCTTGGTATGAAAATATATATTTCAATGAGTTTAAAATATGTTGCTGCCATCAAATTCAGAATAGGGACATATCTTCATAAAACAATACCATTTCAACATTTAATATGTTGTATTCGCACTATTTTCATTGTCTTTAAATGTCTTTAGAATCGTTAAAATCTGTTTATGAGTAGCTCATGTGGATTGTAACAGTAATCTGGGCTCAAGTCAGACCTGTGAAAACTTCATGTACGTTACACATGTGACTCTAATCCTCTTCTTTAAACCACAACATTGGAATACAGCATTAAACCATGAAAGGCAGGGATAAAAAAGTGAGTTCAGACTATTTTATTTGTTTATTGACTGTGAAATAATCACAAATACGGAAACAATAACACGATATAAAAACTCGCACTGTCTGTTGTTTATTGTAGTTGCTGTGAGGGTATAAAACTGATTTCTCCCTCATGCACACACCCTCTCTCTCACTAGCTCGACTGACGCTAGACCCTGAGACCGGCCTCTTTGTAACGAGGGCCAATTGCGGCGCGCCGAGCAGGCGAGCCTTCATGAGCCGACCTCCCTAATTTGCCTGCTATAACATACCCAACTCTGCTCATGTGACGAGTTAAGCGAGCCGTCAGCCCTCTAGAGAGAGTGAGTGATAGTTTATGTGCTTGTGTGGAGGCGTACTAGCTATGCAGAGACCGTGTCGTGGAGGTATATTGCCATTACGCGCTATTACGCACTGACAGCTTCTCACAAGAAAAGAGCGCTCGGTGCAGCGGAGCGGGATTTTGGATTCCTCTAAAATAAAGGTAAGTGCTGACTGATGAAAGCACTGTTTGAGGTTCAGTAATAGTTGGTGAAGTGGTGTTGAAGTGCGCTGTGTGCTCTCTGTTTGTCATTGAGGAGTGTTGCTAAAAGCGTGGCTCTGTTGAGTGAACGGAGAGGTATTTGGTATCCGTGTGCCACAAGGATGCATGTGCGAGTTTAGCGAGACTAGTTGTGCATTGTACAGCTGCTCTGACATTAAAAAGCCTCATAAAGTCCCGACTGGAATGCATGGCATGTGCTGCGTTTTTGACTTTGAACATCAATCGAGCTGAAAAACATATTTTACTCCTTTTTTATGCATTCAGCCATAATTGTCCGCAGAAGAAAAAAAAGATGTCAAAAACCTTTGACTGAAAGTCAATCATGAGTGCAGCGTGTGGAAAAACAGGAGCGCACCACGCTGTCAAAGCCTTTCTTATGTTTCACGGCAGAAGGGTTACTCTAGGGCAAATGACTTAAGACTTGGCGAAGGTGTTATTAAACTGCCTTCACAAAGTTTTTCCATGAGGTATCGCCTGGGCACCGCAGCTACAAACTCGAGATACCCCGTGTCATGTGATGATATCTCACAGGTAACCCTATATGTGTTGAATTTGGCGTTAGATCCCGTATTACATAAATGCACTGCGGTCCACTTGTGGTTGTTATAGCCTAACTCAAAGTCAATAATCAAATTCATCTGGTGATTTTCCAGGGAATCACCTGGAATCCCAGAGTGGATTGTATCGACACGGCAGCTTTTAGGCTTTACAGAAGAGGGCGCACAATCATTTTGTTTTCAGCCCCCTTCTTTAAAGCTCTGTGAGGTTTCAAACTGGGTTTTAACGCAATTTACGCGTCACAAGTCATTTAGCTTCGTGCTCCGGGGGCTGTAGGACACGTCTAATATTTATACTCCACGTCCAATTCAGACATGCCCAGTTTTAATGGTTTTTATGGTCAATGAATATAGAATCTGAATCTTTCATTTACCATCCCATTGAAATCTGTCTGTTTTCTTCATCATCTTTCTATAGTAGGTCTATCTATGCTGGGTGGTCTGCAAAATTCACCACAAAGTATGTCTGTAAGTGTTGTGGAGTTGCAGTTGTTTTATCGATCAGATTCAGCTGCTATAAGGACCACTGCAGAGAAATAAATAGAAACTCTTTATATGACAGAAGATCCATGTGGCTTCAATGATCGTCATGGTGAGAAATGGGAACCCCTGATTCCACATGGTCAGCTTGAAGTCTGAACCAGCAGCTGCAGCGTCCTCACACACACACATACTCACATGCACACACACGGTCTTCAAATTCCATGTCCCTCACACATGGTGAACTTTCCTTTTGAAGTGCCATCATCTGCAGACCTCTGAAACAAGCAGCAGTGCATGGAGACCACATCGCAAGAATCATTTTCAAGGACTCTGCCATTAACTTATTTCTGTAAACCTCATGGGCCTGTTGATAATCATTAACTTAGAGTCAAACTGACCACAGAGAATGAAAATGTGTTGCTGTTTTTGACCACCCAAGCGCAAGAATTTTTCACTCATGACTCCAAATTTTATGCAAAATTAATCAGATTAATTACAGTCAGAAAAGTGCAGACAGACATCTCTGAAAAAGAAGTCTGTTTCAAATATCTAACTAAAAAATGCACTTTTTGTTTTGGCTTTTTTCCAGGTTGAAGTTCTTCCTTCATACTCAGCCTGTCTTCAGCAGAACAGATTGATCTTTAAAGCAGAGTCCAGCTGCCATTCATCCGCACAGGAATGGTGGATCATTTGCCACTTGGTGAGGAGACCTTCCTGTGTTACACCAGCTCACCAGTGTCCGATTACAACTGCCTCAGTCACCACGCCAATGGTGGCGTATCGCCGGGCATCATGGTGACTGACACAGGCATCTACAACCATTACCATCACTATGAGGGGCTGACGCTGTCTTCCTCCCCTCGTCTCTCTGAGGATGACCTCAGTGACTCCTCCAGCCCTCGGTCTTCCCTCTGCTCCAGTCCTGAATCATCTTCACCGACGTTACGCCATGCTCTCAACTCCAGCTACGACAGCAGGAGCAGCAGGAGCAGTGAGAGCTGCAGCTCCTCAGGAGGAGAAAGTCAGGACAGTCTGCTGGACCTCCTCCTCTCACAGGCCTCCCTCAGCAGCAGCAGCAGCAGCAGCAGCTCTCATTCTTCTTCCTCTCTGTCCCTATCCTCGCCAACCTCATCTTCCTCCTCATCTGCCCCTCTTTTACCAATGGGGCTGGCCTGGGACTCCAGGAGGGAGCAGCGGATGAGTCTCCTTCAGCATCAGGTGAAAGAGGACAACTACGAGTTCCCTGTGTTCCTGGACGAGCTGCAGGATCCCGCAGCGCTTCTCTTTCAGCCAACCCTGGAGGAGATCGAGGAGTTCCTGGAGGAGAACATGATGGTGGCGATGGAGAAAGACGAGGAGGGGAGCGACGAGGCCATGTCGCAAACATCAGAAGATGCCGAGGTGGAAAGTCCGAGGACTTTAACAGGACAGTTTGTATCGGTGCCACAAAACTCAGATCAGACGGTACCTGTGGCTCACTCTCCCCTTTCCTCACACACAGAGACCAGACATACACCCAGTACATCTGACATGGACAGCTCACCATCAACAGTGGATGTTAGTTGTATAGAGAGTTCAAACTCCACAAGTGGTGGAGTTAATGGGATCAAACAGGAGGACTGTGGTTCTCTGCCAGGTTCCTCAGAAGGTACGAGCGCTGCTTCCAGTGTGCCTGTTATCCTACAAATCCAGCCCATACAAATCAAACAAGAGCCCAGCCCAAGTGCCATTTCAGACGCCATCACCCAGAAAACTGAATCGCAGCCAACCCCATCTCAGCCGGACATCAAAATCGCCCAACTCCTGGTGAACATCCAGGGGCAAACCTTTGCCCTGGTGCCTCAGCTGCTCTCCCCCACCAACGTCGCTAACTCAAGCAAAACTGGAATCGCCACCTCGTCCAAATTTGTGCGGATAGCACCGGTGCCTATTGCTGCCAAGCCCATTGGGGAAGGAGGATTGGTTGGGGGTTCCTCCTCAGGGGTCCTTGCTGGAGGTCAGAGGTACCAGAAGAGTGCAGTGGCAGATCTTATTAAAATGCACAAGTGCTCTTTTCCTGGCTGCAATAAGATGTACACCAAGAGTAGCCACCTTAAAGCCCATCTGAGGAGACACACAGGGGAGAAACCCTTCGCCTGCACATGGCCCGGCTGTGGATGGAGGTGAGCAAAGCCAAGTGTTGATATTCAAGATGAGATGGTTAATAAAGTCAGCGAGGTGAAGAAGGAAACAGTCATCAGCTGGGTTATGAGGATAAACTTTAGAGCTATATTTGTACACTGATGCTGCTGGTGGACTTAGGCCCCTCTCAAACAGTCACCCCTGAAAATGTCCCCAGAGATTCACCATTATCAGGATGGGGAAGCTACAATTTCAGTTTCATCAATTCAGGTTGTTGTTGTTGAAGCTCACTTTGGATTTCATTTATTTTGGAGTAAAAAAAAAATAACTTAAATTTTAAAAAAATAAAATGAGCCTGCCTTTATCATTTCAATATTTAGGTTCCCAAAAAGGAACTGGTAACTGTGACACAGATTTCAATCTTCTTTGGTGTCTAATTAATTAAGGCACTTATGAGGTCAACAGGAAAAAAGTAGATGAAATAATTGTACACATCAATATAAATGGGGATAAGGGAATAAGAGGAGCCTTTATTGCCAGCTGTGGGGATGTTTTGGTGAAAAGCAGCACATTGAGCACTGCGCCCTCAAATTGATTGCGCTGAGGTAAATTCTTCAACATACCAAATATGCTTCCTCCCTTGATGTGTCATTACATTTTCTAGAGTAACTTTGCCAAATTCCATCGCTCGCAACAGTCCGCCATAATTCTCTTCTGCATAGAAATGACACAATGTTGTAACCACACAGCAGACCCTGGCAGATAGAAAAAACTGTGTGGACCACAAAATTCTTACTTTGGTTGAATCTTGAGAGATATATGCGGCTGTTCAAGACAAAATATTCCGGCGTAAGTTTAAGTTGTGGTCAAACACACCATAACACCAAATTAGACACCCCCTTGAGAGATGAATGTTGCCAAGTGCTTGCTTCTCTAGTTATACCAACTTTAGTAATGGCCACACGATAGCAATACACAGCGGTCTACATCTCCACACGCAAACCTCAACCAAAAAGCCACTCTATAGCCACAAATAATGCTCAGAACAGCACCTAACTTCATCAACAGTACATATAGGGTCCCAGCCACAGTACTAGCCACCAAACATCTTTTTAACTTTGCCTAATTTCTTTAGCAAAGAGACTAAACACAACTCACCCACTCTCCTCTAGCAGCTGCTTGTGTGTTGGGTAGCCCTGACAATTCAATCCCTGAGTGCAACGGAGTTTCGCAGCTCAAGAAAGAACATTTCTGATTTTTACTTCATGGAAGTGTAATCAGAGTTCTTGTCAATGTTGTATGTGCACTGCAGACGCAGTATTTCTTCTGCCTTTCTATCTATTTTTTTGTTTGACGTTTGCGCGTGGAGACGTAGACCCCTGTGTTTTGCTATCTTGAAGTTGTTGCTGAAGTTGGTATAACTAGAAAAGCAAGTGGTCGGCAACATTCATCTCTCAAGGGGGTGTCTAACTCAGTGTTACGGGTGTTTGACCATGATTTAAACTTACACTGGAATATCCCTTTAAGTTTGGTCAGGAAACCCAAACTCAGGGTACATCAGAAAAACTAAATCGTTTTTTTACACCTGTCCCCGATCAGAGCCTGGATTAATGCTCACCATACGCCAAGACTCCACAGATGTTCAGTCTCACACTTACCAATTAAATATACACATCACCTATTAACGTTGTGTGTCACACAATATTAAAGTAACCCAAAATGAACACACCTATATGACTCCAACACAAACGTTGTAAATGCCAGCCTTTATTGACAAGTCAGTTTAATGTTTGCTGGAACTAATTTGTAATTGCAGCAGGTAGTTATTAAGAGCATACACAGTGAGAGGAGGGGTGTGCTAAAGAGAGGGTTCACACTGCAGACTTTTGTAAATGCATGCTGCTTCAGCTTGTATTGTTCTGATACAACGAATATCTTATTTACGTTGACTTGAAGCAGCCATAATTACTCAAAAGTCTTCTTCATCCCCTGGTATCCCTTGCCATTGTGCAAACAAATAAATTATTTTCAGCTGTTGGGAACGCGCTCTCCAGGCTTTCAACTGTTGAGTGTCACATGTATGAAAATCCAGATAATGACAGGATCAGATTGTCTGCAGATTGTCCCAACAGCTTTGCACATTGTGCACCTAAAACTGACCAAAGGTTGGCTTCAGTGGGTTGTGAATGAATACACTGATGGCACAATAACATGCACTTTAAGGGTAAAGTGTCCTATATGTGTATCTACACTCTAGAGATTATGGTTATCAGGGACATAAACTTCCGCTACACACTGATGTTTGAACACCATTGATTATTGACTTGTACCGATGTATGACAGAGTTGCTCTTTATTGTTGGGTTGTTACTGATAAGATGAGACTGGGACACTCAAGTGCAATTAAAAAGAGCTGCTTTATTGTTTGTTTGTTTAACTCAGGGCTAAAATCTGTTGGAAATATTCTCGTCTTTTGTTCCAAAAGTGTCTTTGACAAGAAGAACAGGGAGTCTACCGGGAATATAAATATGTGTCAGACAGAGAATAAGAGGATCCAGAGGGCTCATTTCGATAAAAGAAAAAAGGGCCCATCAAACTTAAGTCCAGGCTTTTCAATAAGGTTCTCGTTTGTGCTTTGTTGGCCCCCACAATCTGTGTGTTTTTGTACCATGGTAAAGTTGTAGATTAGATAGAGAAGTGTTTGAAGTTTTCTGCAGGCGGACCTTGCCCCCTGCTAGTTGTTCCACTTGTTTGCTCACTGTCTGCACCCATTAATGCAGCACAGATACACTGGATTTAATCAAGTTCAAAGTTTTCACTGCACACAAGCCCCAGGGATATGCAGCATTAATTTTCAATCCATGACACATTTTTTGAAAATCCTTCACAGCAGTTGTGTAAAAAAAAACACGTTTCGGGTCTTTTAACTGCAGCTTTCCTCTAAGTGAGACAGTCCTCATTTAAACTCCAAAGCATCCAAAGTACAAATGCCAACTTTTGACCTGTTGGCCAATGGATTCCACCCCTGTACATACAGTGATTGGCCAATGGTGCACAGAAAGTCTTACGCTCGTGTGTGTGTGTGTATTTACACACACAGATGAAGGCAGGGTTAAGTTAGGTTAAAAGAGGGACAGGTGTCATTTTGAAGGTGAAATAATTGTCATGATTTGAGGGTGAGGGTGAGGACTGAAACTGTACAAGAGTTAGCTTAGGCAGGTTAAGGTTTTGAACAATTCAACTTTCAGGCACATGGGACTTAAGAGTACTTCACAGCAAGGAAAACATGACATTGCATTCAAAAGACAATTAATACAGAGAGCAAAACCAAGATGAAATATTTGGATAGTAAAAAGTTTGAAAGATTTTTTATCTTATTTGGTTTAAATGAGCATGCAGAAAAGGGCTGGGCGATAAACCAAAAATCTACCAATATCGAAATTTATGACAATTACCAACACCATTTTGCCCATATCGGTATATTCCGTGTCAAAAAAATAAGTAAAAGTTGGTTTTGGATGTGTGTAGGTAGGCTATGGTCTCATGTCCCTATAAGACGCTGTCCTACGTGAGAGACGTGACTCCACCCCATCCAGTCAGTAACAAAGAGGGAAAGACAGGTGAGGAGATGGAGGATGGTTCAAAAGTTGTAGCGGCTGGACAGTGGCTGAAGTAGACAAAGTTTACTTCAGCTTTACTTACTTACTTTACTTTCTTTACTGGGAGGGGGTGAGCAGCTTGTGGAGTAGTTATCGTCCATTTATCGTTATCAAGTTGAGCTGCTCAATATATCATGATATTGATTTTAGGCCATATCGAGACATTTCAGGCCAATGCTATATCAGCCTCATCTGCCTCATCAGTACACCAGGAACCATTCCTTTCCTGCACCTGCTTATGCACCTCATCTAATGCATTATGTCTGGGAAGACAACCAAGTGTTTGGTATGCAGGAATATTATGTGAGTTATTTGGACAAACATGTTTAAACAAGATATTAGACGCTATTTTTATGGCAGTTGGCTGAATCACATTATTTCCCCATATTAGGTAAAGAGTCAGCGTGTCAGAAAGAAAAATATTGAATGACTGTCTCTAAAGCTTTTGTTGTGGCAACAAGATAATGATGATGGTGGTTCATTTTGTGAAGTAATCACATCATGTGTTTGTAAGCCAGTGTTTTTCTACAATCTCTCTGCTTGAGGCTAAATGTTTACAGCCTATTCCGCATAACTTTGACACAGTAGCATCACGTCTGACCAGCAGCCTTTGTTACATGTTTTGCAGAGGGATTTTTAGACATTTGGACTTTATTATTAAATTGCAAACAAAAAAAGTTCAGCTCTTGCAAAATCTCGGTGGGAGAAATATTCAGAAAACGCACTCTGTTTTTCTCGTGTCTGGCCTTTACATTCTTCATACTTTGAGGGTAATTTATTTCTTCAACTGAGCTATTGAAATAATATCCCTGCCCTCCCAAAGGTGCACTTCTTCAGGCTTTATATGACAGCAGCAGTACACTGTATTATATAGCTGCCATTTCCCTGCTCCTCTCCCTTTGAGCTTGGTAATGGAGTTGATCTGCGAGTCAGGCATCTTTTACCCTCTGTAACCTCAGAGTAGATGCATGTGTTGGCCTCCTCTGAAGTAGAAAGGAGTGGTATTTCATCGGCTGATCTCCTCCATATATAACTCAGTGAAAGTCATATCTCTTCTCATGCCAAACTGATTCCTTTTTTAAAGCTTTTTTGGACTTTCATTGCTTCCCGGCTCCGCGGCTGTAGTTTATGATCATGTTCATGTACAGATCCCAATGCACACACAGAGTCACATGGTAGCACTTAAAGGTACACATGCAGGCAGGCCTCACACACATGGGCATGCAGTAATTTTTTTTTTTAGCTCCGACCTGCATGGTGACTCTGAGCGTTTGATGGCTGGGCTCAAACCCAAACAGTTTGCTGTAATAACACTGTGACGTGTGTGTACTCGACATCTGTCACCGGGACAGCGGCTTGTTGTCCTTGTCAGCTGACGCTTTCATCGTCACAACAAAGCTATGTTGTTCGGCGATGACAGAGCTGTTAAAGACAGATTTAGCTCCACTGACAGGCTATAAGAACGTACTTCCCTGACTGTCCATCAACTTCTTTATACGGGATGGGCACACAACAAGCTTAATACATGAAAGCAATGTTGATAACATCATAAATGTATGATATTGTTTGACAGATCTCAGGACTGACCACACAGCAGATATAAAAGTGATAACAGCTAAAAAGTTTACTCTCTTAAGTTTGGATTTTAAAGCCTTTATAATTTACTTTATTTCTTAAGACGCATCACTGTTGGTTGCCGTCTAATTATATAACAAGATAAAAGATTTAAGTCAAGTTACGTGGGAGGGAAACGAGTTGAGTGGAGCTGAGTTGTAAGTGGTAGCTCAGCTGGCAGCCCACTAAGTCTTACTGAAGACTCAAAATAAACTTCTCTTTTGATAAAACGGCCTCATTCTGTGTTTTCTAGAGTTTTATTTACCTGAATTGTTTCTTTAATACGGTTAGAAAGCTCATGGTAGAAACCTCATGAATGAAGAAATCTGAGCCTATGTTGGTTATGGTGGCTCAGCTCGCAGCCCCAACTGATGACCAGCCCATCAAAATGCTTAAACGCAGCATTAAATTTTCCTGTGACACAGTTATTCAGAGTTTTTACTTGCACAGGACAGGGGATCCTGGGGCTGAGTGCTTCAGCTGGGTAAATGTCATGGTGAAGCCTTGTGTCGGACTTGAAGCTGAAAGTTAAAGTCAGGCATTGTGCAGTAGTTAGACTTCACCCATGTCAAACAAAAAAATAAATAATGTTAACAGACCTTTAAACAATGCAATGGCAATGTGTCTTATTTACAGGATTATTATCAAAAATACTCCAAAATGACGGAGTAATCTATGGCTGAACATTACTCAGACGGTGAGCTGATTTTAAGGCTTTTTTTGTCCCTAAAGTCCAGCTTGAATTAACCATGAAGCTCTCCTCCAAACTACAGCTGTGTTGGATAGATGCAGATGCTGATCGCTCTCAGGTTTTATGTAAAAGAGCCTGTCAGCTCTGAGCTTGTGGGGTGATTATCTCCAAATGTGTCAGTGATTATGCTGCTTGATATTTGAGAACAGATCCCTTCAGTTTCCTCGGCAAAAAGCTTCAGTTTTTTTGTGCGAGTGTTGTTTAGTTTTGCATAAAGTTTGTTTTTTGTATTCTGAAGGAAACACTGTAAGTTTCTGTATTGTTTTTCTGGTGGTTTGTCTTATCCCTTCTGCAGATATTTATATGGGAGAAGAGAGTTGATAGAAGTGTACATGTCTTCCTTAGAGCAGCCACAGTCAAACCAGGGACAGCTAGGACTGGTCTCAGTCAGACTTGGTGCACTTAGTGTAAGTTTGAGTTGAAACGTTGGTTGTGGTTAACTCTGTAGTAAGGGACAATCGGCTTAGTTAATACGTTCAGGTCAAACATCCTGGTTTTTAGGCTTCCATTAGGATTCTCCATGTACTGGTAGCAATGACAGACCTGTCGAGTCTCTTTTTGAGTCTTTCTGTCATTTTGGTCCATTGTGATTTGGACAGTTGAGTATTTGTGTATATATATATTTCTGGCAGTTGTTCAGTCTGTAGAGACTTTGCTTGGAAACCAGAGTCATTGGTTCTATTATTGAAGTTTGGGAGTTGGCAGTGGTCTCAGGGAGGTGCCAGTTCACCCCCTGGGCACTGCCAGGGTGCCCTTGAGAGTTATGAGCATGGCACGAACCTCAAACTGCCCCCACAGTCTGACATGTCTTTATTAGTGCATGGACACAGAAGGATGAGTCCTGACTTTTCAAATAGTTGTTGATTAATAAAAAAAAATAATCTCATCTTAAAAATATAATGTTTTGGCATAGTAGTTGATAAAAAAAGAGGAGAAAGCAGTGACGTCAGGTGCTTTTAAAACAGGTGTGGTTCTGTTAGAGTGGGAACTGCAGAGACCTGGTCAAAAACTTGTGTTGAGTAAAGTAGCAAACCAAAAGTTTACACTGCTCCACAGCTAATCCCTGAGAGTGAGGCACCCAAAGACTGAGTAAAGACCCAAAAGATTGTCTGTACAGTGTGTGCAGGTGTAGAAATGAACTCTTCAGACCAAAATATTGTTTGCACCATTTTAATTTTCACTGGGAAGATGAGCTGCTTTGATTGTCTCTGCTTGAGATGCTCATCCTGTTTGTGCACGTATGTACAGTATTTCTGACCTCTCTGTGTGTAGCATGTTTAATAACAGAGAGAAAACTAGAAATTCCCCTCGGGGATTAATAAAGTATGTCTTCTCCCTTCCTTTACATACATTACTTTCCCATCCATTTAATCTTGAACCAATATTAAAGGTATGGGAACTCTTCACAGTGCTGCAGCTTGAGAATAATGAACAATTTCCCTCTCATTATTAAATTAAATAAGGCTGATTTTGAAACTGTAAAGCGTGGGAAAGTCAGGCGTTGAGTTAAAGAGTGAAGGGTAAGTAGGAGGTTGAGTTCAGTACAGATTCCTGTAAACATCTTATTGTATTTAGATCAGTGAGCGTTTGTTTCTGGTCGTTTTCTAGCTGTTTGGTCGAGAAAAGAGTAATTGTGCACATTTTTAGCTACATCTCTCAGCCCCATATGTTATTGATTCTCCTTTGGGACTACCATCTTATTATCCTTCGACCCTTGCAGAGAGGTCAGGGAGTTTGCGGTCATCCAGAAAACTGCGTGTGTGCAGCAGGAGAAGATTTAGTGTCTTGTTAAAGAACAAACTTTAGAGCTGAAAACTTCTCTCCCAGCTTAAGAAAGGAAAGGGAAAAACTAGATGCATCTGCAAAGCAATAGATCTCTGATCCTGGTTGTAGCAGTGTCATGCATTAATGTGATTCCTTATAAACACAGTGGCAAGCTTTAAAAAAAAACAAAACAAAACAAGCCGAGGGGAATAAAGATAACAGATGAAACACTGTACAGTACAAGTCTTTGCCAACTCCGTCACTGTAATTTTCCAGGTGTGCAACCAACCAAATCACACCACCTTCCTCGCCTGCTTTTATTATAACCTGTTGGCTGCAGATCAATTTAGAGTCAAGCTACAACAAAGCCTGCATATGAGTTTCCCACAGCGTTCACACTGATATGTATACTATGCGTGGAGCTGCAGCCGAGCCAAGCCACCCTGGGGACTGGAGGCGCTAAAAAAACCACAATCCTCTATTCAAAAAACCCTCCAAACTGATCAACAGAAGTGCCCTCCGCCCTTGAAGTTATGAACTCAGTGACCTCAGACGGAGAATTTACAAGTTAGATTAGAGGAAAGAGAAGCTGAGGAAGCGCCAGAGCAAGAGAGAGTGCACAAGTTTAAAAAGGACAGACATGGAGAGGCTGCGTAAAAAGAACTAGCACGTGATCAGTCTTCCTGAAAAAGTGGATTTAAAGAACAATCAGGCTGTCCATTTCCATAAGACCTTAATGCATGTACTGCTGAAAGATCCCCCCTGGTGCAGCATGTTATGTTTGGTCTCAGGCCCAGTTGGAGTCATTAGAATAGCTGTACATGGTTTCTATCATGCCCCAGCTTGAAGCAAGGATAGAACAGCTTTAGGGTGTAATGTGTGCATGTGCACAAAACACAGATGAGGGTAAGCAACAAATGTACAGGCACATCCAGTTCAGCACACAGAGAGACAGATGGTTTCTGATATTTATCACACTAGTGACGTTTCACTTGGCTTTGAAGATTAAAGGAAACCAGCCCCAAGTCTTTGTAATATTAAAAAAACTCTCTCATGGCAGTTTAGACAACAGTCATATGTGCCTGAAGGCTTGAGTTACAAGAACATTTCTTTCATTACTTAGAATGAATGAAGTGATCAGGTTGAATCCTGAAATTACTATCTGATCGAGGTTTTCTTGAGCTTTTCTTGAGAACATTAACACTTGTTGTTGAATTATCTTTGGACCAGAACTTTTGACTGTTTTAATTCAGCCCCTCAGCTCTCATCAACTGAGTTTCCAGCTGTTTCGTGCAGCTGCTTTGGGCCAAAACCCAACCATCTGGCAGCAGATGGACAAAGCTAACAGAGAGCTTGTGAACAAAGTTAAGCCTTTAGGATTTTTAAAGTTAGAATTTATTTTTTAAGTGGATTGAGACAACAACAACACAAGGGATGTCCTGTGGTGAATAACATCCCTGTTGTTTGAGTTAAGTTTTAGAGCTCCTGTGAGGAGTTTCTGGTAGGTTATGAAACAGACTGAAATGTGCTGTTAATGTATCTCTGTGATCTATAAGACACAGGAGCACCAAAACCAGTTCCTCGCAGGAGCTTTCAAGTAAAATTTCCACTAGTGGACTAGAGCACATATTTGTGCTGGTTGTGCATTTATCCAGTTGAGTTAACCAAACACAGTCTACATAAAAAATAATCTCCATAATCTGTGTCCTGGTACAAGATGCCGTCTATGCTTGTTTACATCCAAGTAGTAGGGGTTTTATAGCATTATGGCTATAGACATTAATTGGAGCTACAGCCAGGCTAGTGGTGAGTGACTGAGTGAACTTCTGGACACAATCAACAGTACTAACTCTGAGGGTAACTAGTCTTCAGTTTGTAATCTGTAATACTTTACCTTATGATCTAACACCGGCTCTCTGTACTATGTTGGTGCTGATTTTCAAAGATAGTACGCTTACTCATTAACAAAGATAGGAACACACCATAACCACCACTGATATCAGGTTAAATTAAATTATACTGCGAGGATACGAGCTAACAAGATGTCGGTCATAAACAGTCAACCAATTGACTCCTTGAGTCAGAGTGTTTGTTTTCAGGTTCTTAGCTTTTAATATGCGCCAGCTTAGCTTTATAAGCTCTGTCAGTTAGTTATCTTCATTTTATTACAGGGCCATTAAAATGATGAACAGACTGGTTGTGTAATCCACTTCTAGAGTGAAAATGGTTTGAAATAACTGTGAGTGACGTTTTTACATCTCTGTGAATTATCGCCTTCATGCTTTGAGTCCGCCGCTGCTCCCTGCTACTGGAAATGCTTCTGGAAATCAATCTGTCCTCCAGATTATTCTGAACTTAACAGCGTTACTAATACATACAGATACACTCGTATATAACATGACTCTATCAGCCACTTAACCCTTCACTGTCACTGTATCTGAGCTGGCTGCAGACCATGGAGACCGGAGCAGAGCCGGCCCGGAATAGACCAAGCTTGGATTTTCACTCCTCGTGTGTTGAGCTAAATATGGGGCAGTGCTTTAACTTCACAGAGGAGCCACGGGGCAATATACATATCACACCTCTAAGATTACACTCATATAAAACAGCTTGGCATGGCGTGTGTGTGATTTGGTTATTTTGATCTTGGAAGTCCTCCAAACAAAGAGAGGGTTTAGTTTATGCAAAACAGAGGAGCTGTCCAGTCTTCTCTATGTGGTTTCAGGGTTTTCCTCGATTGTGACAGCTGAATAAAACACCAAGAACTTCAAAATAAGAGATGCTTAATGTTTGCAAAAATTGATTAATCTAAATATGGGTTGTCTCCTGGCAGGTTTTCCCGGTCCGATGAGCTGTCCCGACATCGGCGCTCCCACTCTGGAGTAAAACCCTACCAGTGCATCGTCTGCGAGAAGAAGTTTGCCCGCAGTGATCACCTGTCGAAACACCTCAAAGTCCATCGCTTTCCACGAAGCAGCAGGACAGGACGCTCTGCAAACTGACTCCTATGACCTCGCTCTGACAGACTGACGCTAAGCGTAGAGCTAACGGGGGGGAGGGGGCTGTGATGGTGTGTGACGAAGGACAGAGGAGGCCGGGGTGAAAGTCCAAACACCTTTAAAAGGAGTCTGTGCAGGACTTGTGTGTTTATGTTCAAATAAGTGCGCCTGACGTACGTTCGTGGTACTGTGATAATTTATTGGGTGGCGAGGAAAAGACTATAAAACTGTTACTTGACACAACACCCTCACAGGTGGAATAAGCTTCTTGTATATTTTTGTTTCAAATCTTTTGTATTATTATGGAAGAAAGATTTGCTATTCAGAGTATTTTTACACTTTGAGCTGTGTTTTTTGGTTGTCAGAGAAAAAAAAGCCTTACAACGACACAAGATGCATCACTTAAGGGCATCTGCTCTCTCAAAATCCCCTGGTTCACCTTTATGCCGCCAATCTTTTTAGGGAAATATCAGCTGTCATCACTTTGATGCTTAAATCCAATAGTTTGGGGACTTGGTTTTATTTAATCCAAAACAACAGCAGAGTAAATGGTGTACATTCCTCTAGCTAAGGATTTATGGTGTTTTTTCCGCCTTCTAGAGCCATCACAAGAGAAAAAAATCATCTGAGTAACCTCAAACGCAATAAAGCTAGAGTCTTGTCATTTCAATTTGTAATTTTCACAGAAAAACAGAACATTTTTGGTTGTCTGCCCATGCTTAGAAACATGAATATGGCTGTTTTTTGTTGTGAATTGACCCACCTATTCACATCTGGTCAACACACTGATATTTTTGGCCTTTTTTAAGATCAAAACAAGTTTTGCGTTGCAGCTACTTTCTTTGATTTTCCCACAAAATGCTCCAAGCCCCAGTGATGAGTGTTCACAGAAGTCAGAATGTCTGCTCTGTCTTCAGCTCATCTTATGTCACCATTTCTTTTGTTTTTATGATTCAGTGAAATCATAAGATGACATATCAGTTATAGCTTCATGTCACTTTATTAACTCAGAGTCACTGCTGTGAAATTTGGTATATGGTGGGAATTTTGAACGCACAATGAGAGGCTTCGGAATCAGCTTTGCTCTTGCCAAATCACAACCATATGTACTTTTTTTTTAAAGTGGAAGTTTTTGTAATTATGCTTGTTTGTTAAAACTGGAATTTTTCTTTAAATCATCAAAATGTTAATGTTAAAGTGAGCCTGTGTTACTGTTTCCGGAAAGCAGCAGTGATTTCGGATGATACCAATACATTTCAGAATTGCAAAACTGTGTTTTGTGAAACTACGGTGATCCTAAAAACATGTTATTGACTTCAAATCAATACTGTTTTCATTGATTTAAACAGGCTATGGGCTCTTTAAACCAGTATAATTTGTTGCTCCAGCTCTATTAAAAGCCTGGTTCAAACTCCTGCATCGGACCTACAATTCAGCATTCAGTTAGTTTGCATAGCCCAATGCTAGCTTTAGGTATGCTGGCCCGAAACAATGTGCACTGCAAAGACATCACACTGCTGACTCTGCAAAAGAGAGCAACACAGAGTTTTCAGGATTGCGTTTTTATATTAGCAGCGTTGGCTGATATAACATGGAGTCAATGCACAAACAAGGCTGAAGTTGTGTCCAAAGTGAGGGTGCAAAATCAGCGCAAGACCATATGTTGAATCTTGTTTAATATGTCACATGTTGCATCAGTGTTTGCTCGCACTAAGTAGCCATAAGGTTCATTTAAACAACAAGAGTATAAAGTCCAGACTAGTCAAAGTAATGTTAGAGGAATTAAATTTTCACTCCTTCCGGGGAATCAGTAAAAAGAGCATGTCGCAGACATAAAACAGCTATTAAAGTTTTTTCCTTTTTAAAAACCTGTAAGGTGCCTCTGCAGCCGAAACTTGTCAGGTACAACACTTCACCTTACAGGTTTTTAAACAGGAAAAAACTGAGATCAATATTCATACGTATGCCAAATGAACCTCTTTAATATAGCTATTAAAACCTCCTGCTTCTTTTCATCCTCTAAATTATCCCGTCTTTCAGAACAGTGTGCCATGACAGTCATTTTTACGTGGCAGCAACGACCTACTGAGAGCTAAGTGTTGGATTTAAGTCACTACCGCAGCTGGTGCAACCTCTGGAACTTAAGTAGAGTGAAAACAGTCCTAAGTTTGAAATTACGTTCGAAATAGGCCACCTGTGAACTTATGCATGGCTGATGCAACTCTGAGCGGATATGCAAATGATAGTGTTGTAATCTTTCTTCAGCTAATTGCCACTCTGTCATGACAATGTACAAAATTAGGACAGGAAGATTAAGCACATTTTAGTGTTTGCTTAGATAACACACTGGCACAGTAAAAAGGGTGCAACTTAGAGCCTCACTGCACATATAACTGCTGGATCAGGATAAGATTGCAAAACTCTGTCCTATTTAATAACAGCAACTAAAACGTAACATTAATGTGATAGTCTAAAACAAATGCAGAAGGGAAAAACAAGACCTTGAAAAGGGTCTAAATGTTAGGTAACATCTGCAAATAAAGGGGGGAAAAGTTGGCCATCATTCGCGACAACATGCTTCTGCTCATACAGGGTCAAATGAGTGCATGTACATGTACGTTTAAAATGAATGAATTTACCTTTGAATTTTTTAAAGAGAATTAAAGTACAACTACATCTTTAGAAAGCTAAAACGTTTTGCTTTTTACTCAATTCTCTAAGGGTCATGGCTTAAAGTGAGCAAAGCCTGGAATTTTGCCAAATCAAGTTTTTTTTCTTCCTCTTTTTACAAATAATCAAATTTAACCAGATTTTTTGTACTTCTGTAGACTTGAATAACTTCAGCACCAAATGTCAAAACCAAGTGGAATATTTTTTCCATCGAAGTTAACAGCCATCAGGGAGCATTGACAGCTCCTACGTATTTGTCCCTGGTCTGGAACATATCAGATCTATTGCCATACAGTCAGATGCCTTTGTGTTGTACTGTAAGGGAACAGTGACTTTATGTGAAATGTATCTGCTCTTCATTCATTAGTTTAATTAAGCCCCCAAAAGTCACAAAATCCAAACTGCACAGAGTCCAAAGATGGTTTCTGGTGCCAAAAAGTCGAGGCTCTTTAGACAACATTCAGTATTTGAACAGTTATCAGAAAGGGATGTTATTGCTTGAACTGGAATTGAGTTGTTTCAGTTGATTTGCTGAAATGTTCAATGATTGACGAGCCCTTGTGAGATGCTGAATGGAGGAAGTGTGTTATCGTGTGTGTGTGTCAGGCATTCCTTCCATACGACGAGTAAGGCGGCTTTTCTGAATGGGTGTCATGTATGAGCCAATGAATGTATGTAAATACTGTAAATATTCATATGAACGGAGAAGTGGAATATTCTTGTAGTGATTTCTTTGATTGTGAAAGATTTTTTAAAGTTTGTAAATAATGTACGTAACATGATCATTCAAAAATATGGTGAAAAATACAGTAACTTACTGTTTGTCGGGTTTTTACACAACACAAAGAGAACATGCTCTTAAAAGTTTTATAATACATCTATAGATATTAAATATATATATTACATTGTCTTGACTTGCACAGCCACTTTGTCAGGTGCTAATAGCAATATAATATAATGAAATGAACCATGATGAGTATGTTATGTGCTCTGTAAACACTTTACAAAGAATGAGTTGCTGTAAATCTTATACTTTTGCTTTTGTTCTTACATAAAATATATTTACAATAAAAACATTCAAAGATACAGAAAGTTTGTTTTTGTTTTTCTGTTCTGAGCTTCATTCACTGACTTAAGTTCCTTTCATTGAAATAATGGCCGAAGGATAACACTGTGGTCCAAAACAGCTTCTTTATAAGATAACAGTCCAGATGTATTCTGTGAGTATAGAGATAATATCAAGTATTTCTTCATACTACAAGCCCCAAAAAACAAAAAAGTGAAAGTGCAATTGTGAAATTTAAAATCTGAAACCTAAATTATCCTTAAACCTAAAGATTTAGAGATCTAAACTGGGCATAGATGTTGATGTTAAAAGATCTTAGCCCACCTATTTGCAGCCTCCAGAATAGAAATCAAACTGATTGATGGCCCAGTTTCAGGGTTCAGGTGTACTGAGGTTTGCTGTGGTTTTTCTGCAGGCTGTGCTCATCTACTGATACTTCCAAAAGCTCTGTTTTCTAAAAGCCATGTCCACACTAGAGGTGTTTATGGCGTCAATAACTCAGAGTTTGTAACTCGTACATGAACACTACTGTGCACAAACATACACAAATACAGATAAAACAGCCCCTCAAAATCTGGGAGGGTGTTTTCCAGAACCTCCATTTCCAGAGGAGTAATTCTCTTTTTACATAGCCATGAATCAGCAAAAAAACTGTTTCCAAAGCTATGGCTCATTGTGAGTTTTGTTTATGCTAATGAATCTAATGTCATTAATGTTTGAATGAATCAAACACCCTATAGAAAAGAGTTCAAATAGCGATAGGTTACAAAAAATGGCATTAGTTATTAATCAAAAAAATGTTGGAAATACCAAATATATGCAAATGATTGTGAGTTAAGTAAAAGGCATATCATCTACTGTTTTTTATATTATCTATAACTGTAGCAGCTGGAGAGCAGCAGTATTAAGAAGTCTCTGGAGTGTTTTTTGCAGGCTGTTCTCTGGAATGTACTTTAAGAAGTCAATATAAAATACCATATAGAAAAGGCCAATTAAGTTACTCAGTATAGAGTTTTTATGTTTTTAACCACATGTAGTTCGGGGAGAGACCGAAAAAGTTTGTTTCCCGTAAAGTTGCATAAGAAACGTACAGCTGGGAAGCATGAGAAACGTCAATGTGAGATTTGTACCACATGGTGTATTTGCATGGAAATTATACCCCTGCTCCTTCTTCATCCAGACTCTTTTTTTCTCACCAACACTTATTCCCCCTTTCTTCACAACTTTAAAAAAAATGCCTTTGAGTGTGCTGCTGAGTCATGCTGTGAAAAGCAAAAAGGTAATTGCTAAGGAAGAGGTAGCAGCAGAAGAAACTTTGTGTGTGAGAGAGAGTGTGTGTGTGTAGGTCTCTGGGTGTATATCACAGTGATTTATGAGCCACGCCAGTCTCAGAGGCTTTCTGGGATGCCAAAAGGAGGATTTAATTCAACACATGTGGGACTGAACTGTTCTCTGTTGGCTGCTCAGATCAGGTTTAACACTGAGGCTCCTCCTTTGAGAGATGTTTGTGGGTCCAAGACTTTAAATGGGGGTCAAAACTCCAGAGACCTCTCTGCCTAAGGTGATCTGAAAGATGAGCAAAGTAGAGATGGCTAGACAGAAAACACTGAGGCAGCTTTTATCACAGATTTCTTAGTAGTGTCAGCAAGTTTTAGCACTGATCGACATTTTTAATGGCAAAATCTTGACAAATTGAGTCTCACAAGGTGTTTGCAGATCGTAGAAAGTTTTGTAAAGTTCTAGGAACTGAGTCCCTTTTTTTTATTCCACACAGCAGGAGTTATGATCTACTTAGGTCATTAAGAGGAACCTTCTCAGCTCCTGCAGCCCTAAGAGGAACCCTCAACCTGTGTTTTTGTTTTCGATGGAGAACCACAGATGTTAAAATTTCCTTAAAGGAAAAAGTGTTTCAGTGTGTGGAAGGACATACAGGCTGTAAATTTAACACTCTCTGTGTCTGAAGGTCTAAGCTTCACTGATGTTGCAATATAAATAGTTACTAGTGTTTGCTTTTGTTCTCTCATTACCATTTAACCACCCTGTCTCTCTGAAACACACACATACACACTCACTGGGACTGAAGTTGGCGCAGAGTCGTACACAGTTGCATAACAGACATCATCTGATCCCTGCTGTCAAATCAGCACAAGAGCCGTCGTAGTTGGCTACTTGGTAACTTGCCTCTGACCTTCAGATTTGTGTACAGTATCTGTTTCTCTGGCTCTCTACACATATTGACACACGGTGTGAAGAGTACATGCAGCTGGTGGTCACTCAGTAACTTCTGAGGGACTGAAATGACCCCGCACCTTTCTTTTTTTTTCTACATTACCATAATAAAGATGTCAACTAAGTATTCAGAAATAATCATGAGTAACAGTTATTATAAGGGGGCCAATTCAAAGTCATTCTGAAATAGCAGATCTCAATATGGCATGATTTTGTTCGGTAAACTCTTGCTTGAGTTTCTGCAGCAGACTGTACCCTTCCATGGTTCTTCACACAGGAAGCATGTTTGCTACACAACAGCTGCAAGACAGCTAGAAGTTTGGCATAGAAGTACAGTTTAAACCATTCAGAGTTACATGGATCTCGGCCAAAAATATGCAGAATAATGGTAAACTAAAGGCTGTGTTTACTCTGTATCAGCTATTTTTATTATTAAAAGCCTGGAGGGGACACTAGGACTGTACTTTATGAATGCTTTTTCAAAGCAAAAGTCTGATCTGTTTTTATTTATCTTTGTTTTCACACAAGGCTTTTATTCTAAAATTGCATCAGAGACAATAAGTAAAAGAAGTAACTCGTATGGATCTTTGTTCAAACTTAGAGTGAACTTTCAATGAAGTCAAAAATTGGGGCACTCACACCAAGCGCGAGTAAAATCATCTACTTGCTTAATTTGCGCGAATCTAGGCATGTGAATGAAAAGTATTTACTCGCTTTATTCGCGCATCAACAGTAATTTTAACGGTAATTCTTGCCAATTCAACCAGTGGGATCAAGTGATAGACAAAGTTTTTTTTCACAATTTACCAGGTAATATGACCTCCTCACTCACTTGCCTCCAGGCGAGTTCCTTTTTATTCTGGTTTTGGTAATTGAAAGAAAAAGTATCATATAATTTGGGGGACCCACAGACCCACACGATCAGTTTGTCCTCCATTTTAGATACCAGTGAACAACCGTCTGTTTTCATATGTCACCTGGCAACCTTAGTGCTGATTAGTTATCTCGGATATCCGCTCAAGTTGAAACCTTTTTCAGCTTCCCCCCAATTCGCGTCTTTCACGCCACCAGAGTAGTACGAGCATCTAATCGTGTCTTTGCATTGACTTAACATGTAATTCATCTGCTCAAATGATTTTACTCGCACTTGGTGTGTGGAGACAGTTACGTTTGCTGCAGTAAACTGTATCAATTAACAAATAACATGAGTTTATGTGAAATGTCTTGTCTTCTGAGATCTCTCTCCCCCTTTGCTTACATCTCTGTGCCCCGCTCACTGCTCAGATTTTGACATTTATTTAGACTCTGGCCCAACAATAGAAATGTTTTGAGTACATCCTAAAGTCTCTTGTCCCAGGGTAAAGTTCCTGCACTTAAAATGCATCTTGGGATTTTTAATTGGCTTTTCTTGCTGTTCTAAAAATGACCTACTGCTGGGAAAACCTAAGTCTACAGTAGATGCTGCTTTGTCCAACCATTGTGGAGAGTTCAATCTGAAGTCATGTTTAGACCAGAACCATGTCATCTGGGTCAAATCAGATTATCAGAGACATTTTGAGAAAAAGAGCTCCAAAAGGTGGACTGATCTCAGGTATACATAGAGCGTACCTCCTAACTGGTTGGTTAAAGGGCTTATTCATGGTCATAACTGGGCTGAGAAACACACAAAACCAATAACTGAGCCGCTATGAGTCTCCTGGGTCCAACAAAAACTCAGTGTAGCTCATGTTATTAGACTGCAACAATGGGATTGGTTAGAAACTGTAAATACAGAGGGTCTGTTTGCATGGAAAGAAACCCTCTTACAAATACTGACATACAAAGATGCTCTCAAAAGAAACCAGAATCCACCCGGTCAGTTTACCAGGCAGATAGAATGAGTGGAGACGTACTTAATGTATACGACTCCTCCTGTAGGTCTGCAACTGGAGACTGAGCAGCCTTTACAGAGCCAAACTTATGACAGCAGCAGGAGTGGATGCAGTCCACTTGCTGGCAGATTTTCTATTCATGTGTTTCACAGAGCCCACATGTGTTATGTAATCCCACAGGACACTACACAACTGTTGGACACCACTATAGCTGCCACTAATCGAGCCGTGGTGGTTTCATGACTGGTCTGATGTGAAGTCTGCAGCTTCGCTTTACTTTCATACAAGTCAAAGTGTGTTTGGACTCTTCTGGCACAGCACTGAGAAGGTTCATAAGCTGCTTCCAGCTCTTGAAGAAGTCACTCTGTTGATCGTTTGCATCAAGAAAAGCAACATCAGGAAAACTTCCAATGTCAGGAAGTTTTATACCAAGCTGGTGACAACTCAACCCCACACCATGTTTATACACACTCTAATGTACGTGTTTGTGATGCAGCGTTACACTTGTTGCTCTTAACAGATGGATAACCACCTGAGGGAAAATGGTTCAGTCATTTTCAGGAACCAAAGCTTTGTTTGAGACTAAAAGTGATCATGGCAATTCATAAACTTCACTGTAAAAGATTTGATTTTTGTCAATTAACTACATTTTTCAAGAATGAGACAAAATCAGAAACAGTAAAAGGGTAATTACTTAGTTAACAGCGACAAAAATTGTTCCTTATAGCTTCAACTTTTAGTTTTACGTGTGACAGTGTTAACCTTTTTTTTACCTGCAGGCACTTAGCTTTGTTTTCTTCATGATCAGTCATGTATTTGTTTGCTTGTTCATCCAGCATCCAAATGACTCATGAAGTTTTTTGTTTCACTTTCCTCTTACAACCTTTTTTAATCTCATGGCTCTATTCTTTAAAGGATTCAGTGGCACAAGTGAACAAAATAAATACGTGTTAACGCATGTTTTTGAGTCACTGATCCAACAAAAACTTGATGTGAAGTAGCCGAGCTTGGTGTGAGAAATGACTGACACCCACCTGTTGGGAGGGAAGTGAAATCAATGAAACCGGTAGTTCAAAGTCAAAGGACCAACAAAGCGGTGTGGTATGCAAAGCAGCCTGCTGTCACTTTAAACATTCATCTCCCTCAGGCAACACGCCGAGCGCTTAAACTCGCCTTGTAGACAAGCTTTCTCACCCCTCCTTCTTCTTTTGTTTCCTTTATATTTAATCTGTACAAAAAGGTATTTAAACCCTCGTGTCACACAAACCTGCCAACCTGCGCAGACTAAAAATATAATAAGTATCCCTTTGAGGCAGGGAGCAGACAAACACATGGCACTGAATGTTGAACTCCCTCTGCCACTGCCTCTGCACATTATGCAACCTCTTCAGGACCCAACATGTGTCACCATTATCTGCGTCTCCTTTCATTTATACTTCTTCTCCCCCTCTGCACATTAACATATGTTTTACATTTAAGGCATTTAGCAGTGACTTACAAAGGAGGTAGAGCAGTGAGGAGAAATCAATCACTTCTCCCATTTCTGTCTCTCTCTGCCAGTTTGTTCTGCTTCATTAAAATCTCCTCCAGCTCTCGAGGAGTCGACGGGGAAGGAGGCCAAAGAGGGCGGGCGCTCATGAGGTTGGGATTGGAGCGTGACCACCGTGACTCCAGCTTTCAAAGCAATTTTCAAAGCAATTTTAACTGGTGTGACATGCAATGTGGCATTGCAGAGAAGCTTAAATTAGAGATTTACTTTCAAATGTTATCTGCTCATCAGCTTTCACCATAAAATCAGATTAAATATTAAAACTGTTAGCTATGGGTGCTGATGTTTTAGGCTAAACAATGACTGTTTGAGCATAACACAGCACAAATTCATTCCATTTATTTGATTGTGACCCGGGCCCTGAATGACACATTTCGAGACTTAAAGAGCCACTCCATCTAAAATCAAGTTTTGCTTGTTGTCAACATGTTCATATGACATTTTTCTGATGCTAAAAGACGTATTATGAGAAAAATCTGTGCAAAATTGCATTTCTAAGTATTTCTGCATTCAAATCGCTGTGAATCTCTGGCAGACCCAAACGGCAGACTTAGATTCAGTGAGATTTCCTACGTAGCAACTCCCAGCTCCACCCCGGAGTCCCACTCAGCAGGCCAGTCTCAGAGTAATACAGAGTACAATCATGGAACCAGCATGTGTGTTAGCGGATTGCAATGCTCGTTATAAAGCTAATTATGATATTAGTTTTCATCATGTCCCAGAAGACTTTAGTGTCTGAGAGCTGAATAGCTCCTATGTTACCTGCCACTTCTGCTGCACAAGCAATGTTAGGCAGTAAGCTCGCGTGAAGAGGAGTGTGCAGAGTGCGCTGTCTCCGCCTACGACTCAGAGGCGAATTGCTAATGAGCTACTGGAGCTCTGCAGAAGAAAAGTCCTTGAAAATGACACAGGGAACGTGATTTTGGCTAAAAACTTTATAATCACAATTTCAAGACCACTGAGAACACTGTAAGTAGTAAAAAAAAATGATCGGAGTGGGACTTTAATGACTACTAGGCACAAGTCTTTCACAATATCTGGGTGTCAATAATAACTATATTTTTAAAGATGAAACATTGATATTGTGCTAAAATAAGCAGGTGATAATATTGTGTAACAAACTGGTTCATATGGGGGCAGCAGTGGTTCTGTGCACTGGTTGCTGCCAGAGAAAGACTAAGACCACATGCACATGTAGCTATGATATCTTACACAGTTTCTCTGTAGACAGGCAGTTAAACCTTTGCAGATGTTCACAAACTAGATCTTGAAAAACTTTCATGCTGTAGTAAATTCAGAAGCTCAAGTATTCTTTCTTGTTGTTGCGGCTAAAGTTAGACATTCAGTACATTCACATGCTGTTTAAAATTCCATTTATTGCTGAAGTCAGACTGAAACTAGGCTTCAGAAACAGAAACACAGTCTGACTAAAATCGCACTACACTGAACTTCTCAGAGACTTACATACTTGGATAATGCAGCTGGGGATGGATTTTCTCTTCCATGTGTAAGGCTCAGTGGGCCTAAGTGTTCTGTGCATGCTCCTGTGTTTGGACGCTGGGCTTGAAGCCAGTACTTGAACAGCACAAATGCATTGCTTGGAAGCTGCGTAGTAAACGAAACCTCAACAGACTAAGAAAGGACTATTAAAAAAGGACAAACAGTGTTTTTCTCCTTCAATGTACATCCTGTTAGCCTCTTGCTAATTTTTCCCACTCTTTTCATATGTAATAAGCAACCAGGAGAGGACCTTTGAAGACGACCTCATAGTAGTGAGCTGAAAAGGGTATGTTGCCACCTAATGTAGTGTAGTCTGATGTGCAAATCTATAAGGAGTAAATATTTACTAAGATTTATGAAGAAGCAGCCTTTTCTTCTCATTAAAGACTTTTTAAGCCAGGCGTCGTCCTATGTATAAGATAATACAGTTTAAAGTGTGTTTTTAATACTGTAAGAATCAGCTTAATCACTTTGAGAAACATATTGCAACATAAATTAAGTCACTTGTAAATTTCAGATTAAGACAGATCAGTTTAGACATGTTTTTAACAGGTTGTATCATCCCTCACTGTCAGTCAGCTAGATCTGCAGAGATTTAAACATCGCCTGTTGTTGATCTTAGTGGTTCTGGATGAACTAAATCAGTCAAATATGATAAATTGCCTTTCTGAACAAGAGAACACACACTGAGATTTGTAAATAAAAACATTTTCATCAATCCTCTTTTACAGACATTAACCTCAGGAATGGTTAAACATATGTGCTACCAGAAGATCTGAGTTAATAAAGGGGTGTAAAGAGAACTTTGTAGGAGTTTTGGTCCATTAGTCTTCAGTACTTCTGTCATTATCTGTGTCTATCCAGCACATGCTGCTGGAGTACGATGTTCTGGGAAGCACTTCACAGACTGTGATACGTATAAATGTGAGCGTTGCATCATGGGTTTATCTAATGAGTCATATCTCCTGAGGAAACACCATGATGACCACAGTGTGTCCTGTTTGTTTGCAAAGAGCTTGTGAAATGTTACCCACCTGGTGGAGCAGCTTCAAACATTAAAAACACTGTGATTTAGCTTCAGCTGGCAACTTTTTCATTTGTTCGAAAGAATTATTAAATCTCATAAAGCAGTTCACATAAATTACTCCTGGGTCGTCTTGTCCAGCTCTTCCACAAACTCGACTTTTAAGCTGGTAGTCAGTGCAGGATGCAGAAAAACTGCGATGGGGAAGAGAGAAGCAGAAGAAAATGGAAAAGCTCATCAGGAGTTCACTGATTATTCGTCATATCCATCAACTTCTTCTCATCTCTGTGTTGACACACACCCTCTATGTGACATGTGTCATAGACTCTGAATGAGTCACACCCAACCTTCACCTGACAACCATGTAAACTCATCCGCACAAAACACATCCACATACATACACGGTTTTTCAATAATGCTACATCGACGCATCTCAGATATCTTTCAGAAGACCAGAGTTCAAATCTTTCCCCAAACTCAGCAAACAATCCCCATACTAGACATCTACCTTAGCTGAGTCAAAGTTTCATTTCCATAACCACAATTAGCCTCCTGACTGTTCACTGTTTGTCCTCTGCACAGACGTTTGAAGGAAGCCGACCTTTACATTTAAAATTAAATAGCATCAGTGGTCAGGCAGGACTGTCCAACATCAACTTTTACTTTCTATAGGGTTGGAAAGAAAAGGGAGGGTTGCACAAATGATCCAGTCAAATGGAATAAAGCAGGACACAAGTCAAATAAAATGTTAATGTCCTGTCACTGTTATGCATGGTGGTGCATGAAGTACACTGGAAAACAGAAAACTGAAAATCAGCCTTAGACGTTTTTCTTTTATTCAGTAAATAAGACTCAAAATTACAAGTCCAAGACCTTGGCAAGCTTTAAACATGCTCTCTGCAAAGAACGGGGTCTACAACTCCAATCTACAGGGGTCTCCATACACTGTACATTCATTATTTTAACAGACGCGACCATCTTTCCCTTACTATCCTGCGTTTGGTAGCACTGTACAGTATATTTAGTTGATATCCTGGCTTTATCGGGACCCCACGCACATTTTTTAACTCAGCTGTGTTCTTGATATGCTTTTCAGGTTAACTGTTTTTTTTTTTTTTGTTTTGTTTTGTTTTTTCCAGACCTGCAATTGATTTGCAACCTAACCAGCAGTGTACCCAGGCTATTACCTAATAACATCTGGAATAGGCTGCAGAGGTAAGTGGTTCCAATCTTAAATCGATGACCTAGAGTTTCTCCAATTGATGCATCAACATTTTTGAGGACAAAATCAGCGCAACTACTTTTAAAGCTCAAAGTTTTGTTTCCAGTACATGTGCAGGCCTCCTCCTCTGCCCTTTCAAATGCATGTTGTAAAAGAGACACTCTGGTGAAGGCAGCCATGCTGCATTTCTAAACACAGTCATGCTCTGGTAACACAGCTCCCATGGCTCACACAGAAGTCAGGTATCACAGAATCTAGCCAACCTTTGGGGAAATAATTTGGAAGTTTCAGAGGTCACTTTGAAGAGGGGAACAGAGGAGCTCATGATGCCTGAATGTTAGCTAGATGTTTGGCGGAAAAGATCGATGTGGCCAGGACTGAAGCCAGTGTTTGATCCCTCAGACGATGGCGCAGAAATGATCGTTGTTGTCTGTGTGGTCTTCATAATCTCTGCTGTTTATCTTCTCCATTTACTCCATGTTTATTTTGGTATTTATGTTTCAAAACCAGGACCGTTGCAGAGTTGGCAGGATGAGAGAGAACAAAGTGGTGAGTTGTTCATTTCCACATCCTGGTGAATGAATTCCGGTCATGTATCCTAATATTCCTAATATTATTCACAAAAAACAACTGACATTTGCAAAATTTAATATCAATAAAAAGCATGTTTCAGTCAGGACTACTTTTAATGCCAAGGCCTACCCCCTGTTCCATGTGCATGCATGAAAAGCCAAGGCAGGAGGAGCAGCAAAGACCCCCCAGAGTGCAGATCAGCCATGTTGACATAGTCACAAATAATAGGAATAAATGCTGCATAAAAATGCATCATGTAAACACGTCCATCGGAAGATTCTGATCCAATTCGGCTCAATCAGAAAGAAATTGCATTCCGATTGAACAGGCTGGTGTATGCAGATCATTACTTTGAAACACATCCATGTAAATAGTTATTCAGATCGTGACTCTCTTACCTGACTCGATCTTCACTCTTTCGCCTTTGGCTGATTTATTGAGACCAGTACAGGAGGTTTCATTATTAACACTAACACGACTGCAGGTGTCACGCCGTGTTACGGCGTACATACAGCGTAATGATGTCACATCTCCACACGCAGAGCAACCTTTGACAGAACAGTGAAATAAGTAAGCAAGGGCGCCATCTAGTGACAACATTTAACAGGGGGGGGGTCATCCTGAATAGGATGGAGTGAGCCACTACTGCGTTTTTTGGTTTGTTGACAGCACAGGCGTCAATATAACTCTTTTTCTGCTGTTGTTTTAGCGAAATTAGACAACTCTGCACATGTCCAAATGCTTCATATCTGAATAAAACTTGGTGCATGTATGCGCACATCATGATCAGATTATTTGATATTGCACTTATATAGACAGAGGATTCAGATTATCCGATCCCTCAAATTTTTAATCGGATGAAGAAATTTTGCCCGTGTAAACGTTGCTATTGACAGTTCATTATAACACGAGTAAAGTCAGACTCAGCATAAAAAGGAGCAGCTGGGTTGGAGGCAGGTTGCAAAGTGGTTTTTGTAGGACACAGTAAGAGTACACAGGTTACAGCAGTTTAAACAGAACACCCATTTTGACATTTGGCGCTTGAACGCATCAAAGGTAATCAGCTGAGCCGACAGCTGGTATAGGCTGGCATTAGTATGAGCGGATATATAGTGGGCTAAGCTTGATTTTTTTGGTCTGCCTGGACTAGCACTCCGCTCCATGTATGGCTCAGATTTTGCAGACCTTATGGGCACTTGCATATTTTGTAAAGTTGACCCCATTTTTAGGTCTTTAGTAACCCTTAAATACTGACCAAACTACCCAGCAGATCTGAGAAAGACTCACCTCACATGTCATTATAGGTACCTGAATGCTATTTTGTTATTATGCCTTATATCTCTTGCACACTGTTGATGCAACATCAGCAAAAAGTTACACCTGACAGAAATCAGCAGGTTGCATCATCAGAGGTATTTGTAAGACGTCACTAAAACTATCCACAATGATTAAACATTTGCTGAGGGTGAAACCAGGCAGCGCTTAAATCTGACATTTACACATCCTGTGTCTCTCGGTTCTGCCCTTCTAGTCAGGGAAAAGCCGAAAAGTGTAGAGCTGCTTGGATGGAGGGATTTTCTTAACTTACTGACCATTTAACAAACTCACCTGCTCATTAAGTCATTAATTTCAAATCATTTGTATGCAAACATGATGTTTGAGGGTTCCAGGATTACAAACAAATACAAAACAGATGGTTTTGTATTTAGCAGCTGTGAGTTTGCAGCCTTCGGTTATGGCAACTCGGGGGGGGGGGGGGGGGGATCTTTTGCGCATTATGAATGAGTTTAATGTGTTAATGTGTCTTGTAGCACACCATTGTAAAACTGCAACTCCCGCTGATGGAAAATTATGACACCACTTAGCTTTAAAAGGTAAATTTCACTTGACAAAAAAAAAAAAAAAACTGTAGGCAGCTTGATTGAGGAGTCAAAAGTTATGTGCACTTTCTGTCAAACTGAAAAAATATCAGCTAAGTACTTTAAGAGTGACATTTGACAAATTTAGCACTCTAAAGCTGTTTCCTCCCTGTAAGTCAAGGAATCAGACCCCGCTGGTGTAGCTGTACAAGCTTTATTCAATAATCGATCTTGAAATCAAGATAACACACTATATTTCATTGTATATTTCAGGCTTAAAATCTAAGAATAGACATTTTAACCATTGGATCACGGTTATCTTAAACTCCATTTTAATCCAGTTTTTGTTCGTATGAACATATCTTTGTATTCCCTGTGCTTTTTTTTATCCTTCAGCTTGTTTAACTATTGCATTATTGCATTTTTCATAGGTGTATTTAAACAGCCATTCCTCATTTGCTAAGGTTATGAATGCTGTAGTGTTTTGCATTTGTTTACATGCTTTATGCTTGTGCTTAGACTCATAAACATTAAACAAATTCATGAAGGCTGATTTGAAAAAATAGGAGAAAAGTACATGGGAAAAACTGAGGCCAGAGAGAGAGACAAAAGAAGTTGTGTTTGGAGAAAGTAGGATATTTGAGCCTTAAAGCAAGGGTGGAGGAAGGGTTAATTTGTCAGCATGTACCTGCTGTGTCTCAAGTAGCTTCAGTGAGAGCAGAGCACAGACCCCTAACCTCTACACACTGTATCTGTTTCACACACACATACACTTTCCATGGCTCTTATGTAATCTGATGTATGTGTGCAGGGGTGTGTGTGTAGTATGAGCGTGTGTTTGTGTGTGGCTTGGCTTACATATTTACGTACATACTCCTGCACATGGGAGCCATATAAAAAGTAATACATACACCCCCCTGCCGACCCCTGCCACCTTTACCGCACGTTATTTATGGCTGCATAGGAGCTCTGCGGCTACATTATACTTATTTACACTCACTCCAACAGCACTTTAAGAAAAGAGGCCATGAGTTACACGCACACACGTACACACACACACACACACACACACAGGCACAGCAGAGCACCGTAAAAAGGAGAGCAGGGGGAGCGCAGCACACTTGTGCAGCACGCTCTCATTCCCAGTTGCCCTCAGGTCTTGTGAATGTAAGGAATTCACAGCGAGGGGTGGAGGAAAAATGCTGTTTGCAGCGTTGTGTGTGCCGCCGTTCAGATGGAGAGATGTGTGACACGGATTCAATCACACTCACACACACGTGCACCAGCAGGGGGCTTTTTAATTCAGCTCACACACGTGCAAATAGTGATTTACCATGAGCATGCACAAACTCTGAGGAAGCGGTTAAAGCAAACGCAAATAACACATAAATATGCAGCACAAGCATATACACCTACAGTACACACCACAGGAGAGCTTTAGGGTAAACCTGTAATAGCTTTCATCATCTAGTATGGTGGAACAAGTTCTAACACAAACTAATGTATGTCAGAGAAAATGTCTGTCAGTATCAGAGCATGTCTTTATTTCTAAAACCATCAGTTTGGTTTTTCTGACTGCATGTAGGAAAAAAAAACAAAAAACTTTTTGGAGCAGGAACAGGTTACCCTTTAACGGAAACACTTATCCATCCTCATTATAGCTCACTAAATACTGACACTCTTAAAATTGAGGTTCATACAGACTCACTATATGATATAATATCATGAAGCATACAATATGTAAAAATGGTAGTAACAGACAGCGACACATACTGGGTGATGAGCAAGCATTTTGAAGAGGAGGCACATTCAACGTCTCTCCTTCTCTCTGTAAATATCAGCCGGCTCACAGTTTTTTCTGTCCTCACAGCCTCTTTTTCTTCCCCCTCTCCTACCACCTAACAGTGTTACCACGTCACCATAGTAACAACGATCCACAGTAAACAAAATTGTTTATTTATAGCTACTACTTTTTATTTATCAGCAGTATAAATTTGAAATCTTTTCTCTGACAGAAAGGGAGCCCATGTCAAGACCCCAAAACTAGATTGATGTGGGTCTTGGTGAGGACTTTAGCAGCAGCATTCTGACTGACTTTGTTCGCAAACCTAAAAAGACACTGTCACAGAAAGTAACTTAAGTTGACTGAAGATTAATAAACTGAGTCCTTTTATCTTTGATCATTTTTAGCTGATAACAAACTGACTTTGTGTATGTGTTTTTTAAAAATCAGGTCTGAGTCTGTTACCATCCAGGACTTCTGGCTTGGTCAGTGGATTTGAGCCATACCATCTACAGAGGCTTACTAACGCTTTCTTATCTCAAAAACAAAAAAAAAAACTGCCTCAGTTTCATCCATGTTTCACTAAAGAAAATAACGTCAAAGCCATGTGGATTTGTTTAAGGCACGTACTCAGAGTCTGTATAGATCCCAGGTCACCTGCTGACAGTGTTATGTAAAGTTGTGCATCGTCAGCATAGTAATCGTAACTTTTGTTGTTTTGTATAAATTGAGCCAGTGGGAGCATGTAGATTTCAAACAATAGATGGCCCAGGATGGAGCCTTGGAGAACCCCACATGTATCTTTCATCAATTACGGACACAAAGTAGCCTCTGTCCTTTAAGTGTGATTCAAACTAGCTGAGGACTGTGCCAGAAAGTCCCACCCACAGGACAATTTCCCACTTTTTGGATGCAGTTCATTCACTCTGCTGATTAAATATCATTTTATTGGAAGAAAGTACTTTCTCTAAATTATATGAGATTGTAAAATATGTCTTTTTCCCTTTCATTTCATCCACATTAAAGATTCTACATGACCATTAGATATGTTAGACTGGCCCTTGGAGCTTCATGGCTGTGGCTCAAACAGTGATCTCACTGATCCAGAGACAGCCGATCACTTTAACACATTTCTATCTCAATCTTATTCCAGTGAAGAAAAGTCAGAGGAGCCAAACATGATGCAAACTCTGACTCAACTTCCCCCATGCTGGCAGAAGTAGATGTTATCACTTCTTCAAGTCTGCTTCTGTTTCTTAATCTTAGTAAATCCAGAAAAACACAGAGGTCAGAGATGCTTTTTTGTAGCTGACCTGTGGTGATGTTTCGAGAGGCGCAGAGTAGAAAATAGATACCCCCCAGAGATTGATGAAGTGTTGCAAAATCAGTTTTAAGGGGGGGAGATTTTCCCTTCAAGTTCTTGTTGTATTTGTTTCCATGAGTGCTGGCTTGTGTTCAGTGAGTCCACAGAGTGTAGTGGAAAATAAATTTAAAACACAAGCCTCTTTCACTGAACACCTTGGGAAGTTTACTTTTCCTGTGTGTGCGTGTGTTTGTGTCTTTATGCATGTGTGGTGGTGAGTGAATTTCTCAGTAGGCCGAGCATTTAAACACACACACACACACACACACACACACACACACACACACACACAAACTCCTGCAAACACACACATAAGGGGGGTAAAAGGAAGGGAGCGTTTTACCTAATAGATCTCATCTGGTAGACTTTGTTTCGCTTCTCAAATTACCTCCCAGTCATTTACTGTAAGTTGGAAGAGCTGCACTGAAATTTAGCGCTAGTTTCCTGAGAACTTTGATTCTTTAGAAATTCCTGGAATCACAAGATAACTTACTTCCCTCCTCTGGGTCTTTATATAGATGCTGCAAACACAAGCACTTCAGACCGCGAAGCCATCACAACAGCCAGTGTGCGTAGACGATACGAAAGCATCTTGTATCTTTACAGCGTATGGCCCCAGATTTACTGGAACAGAGCTCTGCGGCCGGATTAGTTTGCACACATTGTTTCATCCCAAGCTGCCTTTGACTGTGAATCCCTCTGATGCAATAAACTCAATTCAGCGAAGGACAAAGAGATAAAAGAAATGGAAACTGCTAAATGGTTTTCTGCCAGAAGATGTAATGTCCTGGCTCCAAAAACTGCCATTGCACCCCAGTGTGAGACTAATTGGAAGAAACAGTTTAATGAGGGCGGTCTTACATCACTGATAGTCACTCTTCTGGCTGCGAAAAAACACTTTTGAGCCTCGACTTTAAAGGGAGGAGGATGTGCTCATCTACAGATTGAGAAAAGACACAACAAGTGCTGACATTTTGTTGGTTTGTTGGTGGTAAGTAGCACGTCAGAGGAGACACGTACAGTATGCTCACAAATCTTTAAAGCTTATCGACTAATGAGCCTTGAGTCATGAACAGGGAAAT